CAGGACTTCCATTTGCCTGTGGCTGCCCCAAACCTGGCCCAGGCACAAATGGGAACATCGGGAGCTTGGTTCCTTCGAGCATCAGCCACAGGACCAGTGGTCCCCCATGGGCTTTCCTCATCACTGCAGGCTCCCTGCGCATGGGTGGGAGCTGCAGGCAGGGGTGCTGCCTGCCGAGAGGGGCCTCATCCCCATCACCCACCGAGAGGGTCATCATCCCCATCACCCACTGCCGACCACCTCGCTGCCCTGCAAGCACCACTCCCGGCACCACACTTGCTCCGAGTGCCTCCATCCCGCATGCTCCGTCCTGAGCAGGGAGACACCAGGGAGCACCAGGATGAACGGGAAGAGAAATGCTGAGACAAAGCCCATGACTCTCAAGGTAAGGAGGCAACGCTTTTTCTAACTACAGCCAGTACAAAAGCTCCTCGCCCCGTATCAGCTGGGAAGGCTAAAAATTTTTAAGAGTGTTGTAGAGAAGCTGGGATGTGCTGTGAGTATTTTTGTCCTGGGTTAGGAAAGAACTAAGAGGCTTGTGCCCACACGAGCGACAAAGTGTCTCCCTGTCCCTTATTGCTGGAGGGACAGCAAACACCCTGCCAGGCACCAGTGCTGCCGCAGCGTGGTTTGGCTGGTGAGCTCTCGGGGCGCTGACGTGTGCTTTTAAGTGCTCTTGGTAGGGAAGAGAAATCCCAGAAGGGGTGAGAAAGCGAGCGCAGGGCTGGCGCAGGGCGTCGCACCAGGACTCGGCACGGCCCTTGCATCCTGATGAGCTGCGCCGACCACTCTCCCTGGGAAAGGGCCAGGATGCCAAGGCGAGTCGCCCTCGGCAGCCCGCACCCCGGCACACAATGCCACCCGCCAGCTGCTGCCTGGTCTCTGCCTCCTCCATCTACATTACGAACCTGCTTGGTAAAAGCGTCCTTGCAGAGAGAGGTGAGCTCTGCAAGCTGATTTATGACCACACACAGCCCCGGTGGCATCCCAGCACCGCACGGCTGCAGAGCAGGGTGTACATGCGAGGAGCTGGCAAGCCGGCATCTCCAGCGCATCTTCACCAGGGACTCCCAGCCAAGCACAGCCGCATCTGGGGGAACTCCCCATCCACTGGGTCCAGGCCAACCCAAACCCATACCCTCTGGAAGAAAACATGTAATAGGTACTGACACTGTGTGCTGCATGGTAAACGGCGAGCAGCAACCTAACCTGCCCGCTAACCTGGGCACCTTGGAGCTAGATGCCATTTAATTCAGCTGAGTGCCTGAAGAAAAGGCAAGGAGGAGCAGCAGACCTGTGCCAGGGATGCTCCTCAGGAAAGCAGAGTTGCCAAGAGGATTTGAGGACCCCACTGAATTCCCAGTGCCGTGCAGCTGCGAAAAATGCTAAGGTGCTCTGTGGCCGTCGCTGGTGAGGGGATGGTTTTGCCCCCTCAGCACTGGTCAGGCTGACATGACCCAGCCTGGAAATGGGCAGGGCTGTAACGGCTCTGCCGAAATTGGTGAGGAGAGAAGAGCGTGGTAAGGCCAGAGGAAAGCGTGGTGAGCAGCAAGGCGAACGCTCCAGCTGCCTGGGTGGGCAGCAGCCCTCAGCGACAGCCCCCCTCAGCCCACAAGAGAACAGGGCTGCAGGAAAAGCAAATTGAAGCAAAAAAAAAAGATAGAAAAAAAATGAGGTACCAATTTTACCTGCACTAGCAGGGGCTCGGGCAGGCTCCCAGCTTTTGCACACAGCAGTCAGTCACCCCTTTGCAGGAGCAGAACAGCAGCCCCTGGGTCTTTTCCTGGACTCTGCAAGCAACAGTATTGTCTCTGCATTTCTGAGCATTTATTTGGGCTCCAGGTGGATCCAGCTGCCCGGACAAAGCAGGAGCTTGCTGAGAGTCACAAATCACGAATTCTGCGATTCTGAAAGCTCACAGCACTGCAAACACCACAGCTGCACACGTGAGGGTCTCCCAGGACATGAGCAGGTCTCAAACACAGCAGGATGGGGCAGCAATGCAGGAGGCAGTGGATTGATGTGCTGGAGGGCTACAGCACTCGTGGAGGACGAGAGACATGGTTTAAGGTGAAAGCAGAGAGTGGCTCAAGAAGGCACGGGAAAAATACACAGCACGTGAGCCACCAGTGCAGCAGATTCTCACAACACAGCCACAGGGGACAGGCAGCAATGGCCACTGCCAGGACCACCGGGGCTGGCTCTGGCCTGTGTCTCCCTGCCCTGGTTCCTCCTCTCCCCATATACCCGCTCTGCACTGGCACAGGGGCAAGGGGAGCCTGTGCCCTGGCCCGCGGAGCAGCTCCAGGAGCTCTGCCCAAGATCTCACAGCCCCAGTTTGCCAGAGGGAATTAAACTACAAATTTACTACCAGGGCAAAGCAGCGTGCCCGAGTCACCGCATCTACCCAAATGCCTCTGCCCAGAAGTGACCAGCCTCTTCCCACCAGCCCCTCACTGCTGCACCGCTCCCGGCAAGTGGCCGTGGCGGGGCATGCTGCCGAGGGCAGGTGCTCTCCCAGCAAAGAGCAGCGCAGTGCTCTGCTCTTCCCGTCTGTCCTCCGTGTGCCCAGAAGCGAGCCGAGTCCTCTGCTCTGTCACAAGCAATTCCCTGTTCTGTGTGTCCCCAGGCCGCTCGATGTCCTGGAAGCACCTTCCCGTGCCGGCATGCAGCAAGGAGCGACACTGAAGTGCAGAGCAGGAACAAGGAGGGGATCCCCACGCGGTCCACAGGCCTCGGCGCTGCCCTTTTCAACAGGCCCCTCGCAGCAGGTCTGAGGGCTGCGAGGACGGGGCTCTGCCTGCCTGTCCCTCTGCCCGCAGCACCGTTCTGCCAGCACCTGCCTCCAAACGTCCCAAGGTCCCTTGCAGACCTGCGGGAAAACTTTGGGTTTTGTTTAAAACAACCTATTTCTACACCTTGCAACCGCATGAAAAACACCAAGTGACTCCTACAAGAGCTGCTATTAAAAGGAAAAAAATAACCCAACTCCCACCCATTTTGGTTTTAACTCCCATTCTTCTGAGGGTGTGGTGCCAGTCCCCACTGCTGGTGGCACCGAGGACAGCCGGCTGCTTTGTCACACCCCACAGCTGCCATCCCTCCCCCAGACCCTGGGCTCCAACTCCCTCTTCCAGAGTTCTCCTGGTTGGACAGACGGATTTGAGACCAGGCATTTCGGTGATCACTGGGGCAGGGTGTAGGCAGGAGCGAACGAACGGACGAACCAGCTGTGGTTTGCAGGACTGCCCATGGGATCCTGCTGGGGCTGGGGCTCTGGCCCCGGGGAAACCGGCATTTCTCAGCTTGGTTTTGCAGCTGGTTCATGGCTTCCTGCTCCTCGGTGCTCCTTTGTCAGGGGAGAAAGGAAATGGGTATCTCAAGGACTTTTGATATCCGCATAAAAGAAATTAATTGAAGGGAATTCAACGTTATGACTCAGGCTGCAACACTGGAGAGAGCTTTTAGCAGAGAGAGATGAGGAGACTCCTCCTGGCAGGATAACATCCCCCGGTAGAAGGTGAATTTAGCTAATTTGGACTGTCTGGGTAACCCGTGTATTTGTCAAGTGCTAGGGTTATCCCAGTGCTGCCCCAGCCCCGTGCAGCTGTGACTGCAGGATTCAAATCTGATTTTTTAATCAGTTTTGTTGTCTAGCTTAGTCTGCAGGTTTGGGTGAAGACTGGCTTTTACTGCTCTCGCCTGCCATGGGTGGAAGGTGTTAAGGACATGTCCTGCAGCTGAGAGACCTGGCCTCTCCCCAGCACAGGCATGAAGAGGGACTGTCACAGGACACACGAGGGACTGAAAACCGGAAAATGTGGGGGTAACTGGGGGAAAAACAGCAACTGCTCAGTCCCAAAGGGGCTTCTTAAACCTGGCTTGGAGACAGTGAGGTGTTTGGCCCCATGGGCAGCGGCTCGCCCTCCCTTGGGTTCAGCGAGCTGGCTGTCCCCTTCCCTCATGCACGTCATCCCACCTTCACCCCAGACACACCCCTCTGATGGGGCTATTTCGGTGACCTTCTCAGCCCCTCATATCTACGTTGTGCCGAAGGGGAGGAAAGTCTGGGTGCCATATCCTCCACTGTGCCCACCACCACTCACCATGATTCTGATGGCACATCAGGGGTCCCCACTGGGGATCCCCGACACGGTGCCCCCGGGCACTGCACACCAGCCCCGAATCCCTGGGGGAAGAGGGGCTGTGTGGTGCCTTTGGGGTCTGCAGTGTCTGCATCTCACTAGGAAACTTCCTGAGAGCCGAGCACCAAAAGAAAAGGGAACAAACACAGCCCCTGCCCCCCTCAAATAGAAATCCCTCAAAAATAAATGTAAATTAAAGGCAGTGTGCTCAGGATGGCAAGCACTGGCCATTTACAGAGACAGGAGCTCCCTTACGGCATTTTGCTCCACAGGCTGTTTCTGAGCCAAAAATCAGCGAGATTCAGAATAGAGTTATGAGTTTGTATGAATCAGAACTGACAGTTACTTTATCTGGAACAAGTTAAGGGATGTAAGCTCCAGGACACGAGCGGCTCCAAAACACCCTGCTCAGTCCCTCCCTGCGGGTCCTCAGGCACATTACCAGCTACTACGGGAGGGTTACGCTGCCTTCCAAAGCCCAGGGCTTGCTGCTGCGGAGCACAAGGCGCTGGATGGATGCGAGGTCTGCTCTGCGTCGCTGCTCCTGTCCCCGCTGCACAACAGGAGTGGCAGGGGAAGGAGAGAGGAAATTTTCAGGAAAGTTTTTTTTGGGGCCAGAAGCTGGTAGTTCAACAAATGCAAAGTTTTTTTGCAGTGATGTCATCTTTTTGCTGCAAGGTTGGCAGGTGGAAGCAATTCACCTGGAAGATCATATATGGGCAATAGTTCTCCCTTGGCTTGAAGCTACTTCATCCTCATTCCCTGCAGCTGTTATGCTCCTAGCTAGTTTGAAGCAGTGTTATGTGTCTCTCTCATTTTTTTCATTAAGGATTACAATGAATGACTTTTATATCCATGAAAACAATTTTTTTGAAACCTCAAACTTTCTCCAAAAGGAGCTGGCTCTCCAGCAAGTCCCAGTCGGGAAGACGAGCCCATCCTGATGTGGCTCAGCAGAACCCCCGCATCGCCACCAGCACCAGGGAGTGTTTTGGGGCTGCAGCGTTCGCTCGTGCCAGCCCCTGCTCTCCCTTAAGGCTGCAGACACATCACCACACCAGGCAGCTGAGCCGTGCTCAGCCCAGCAGTTGGCAACAGGCTTCCTAACCGCTCCTCTCCACGGACGTGCCAAAACGATGCCGTGCAGCTGCGCTGGGGAGGGGTCCCATCTCAGATGGTGGCAAACGCAGCTCAGGGGCAGAAGATGAAGCCACCGACCGAGGCTCTGCCTCTGCTCCCAGTTCACATGCTGGTGGGTGGGAAGGGCCCATCTGAGAGGTGAGTGTAGCTCAGAAGGGGGTCTCCCAAAGAAGAAAAGGGCTGAGGTGGGTATGTATTATCACATTCTCCATTGGACAAAGTGCCTAGACATGGCATAATTAACTCCAAAGTGCCACTGATAAAGACAAACCCCAGTCCTGTGGCCAGTGACATGGCCCCAGGTGGAAAGTGCTTGTGCCTGGCCTAAGGGAGCGGGAAGGTCTCACCACAGTGACTGCTGGACTTGAAGCGTGGGGAAACACCTTCAAACGTGACCAGTCACTTCCCCCCATGCAAGAGGGACTGTGTTCAGCTGGTTGCCTCTTCTGACCCTCAGTAGACTGTAAGTACAAACCCAAAGAGCCCCTGAAAACAGAGCCCCGGACCTGCTCAGAGTGACCATCCTCACGGGAGGCATGTGGGTGCGGTGCCACGCAGAGGTGGCTGGAGCCTCTTGCTCCAGCATTAGTGCCGGACATCAGGACAACTTTGTTCAAAGCTTGGAGTTCGCTCACAGGGTGACTGCATCTGACATTACACCAGAGAATTAGGGAATCAGAGGAAATTCTCTGATATTTCTGATATCCTGGGCAGCTGCGTCAGTGCATGGAGGTGGTGGTGTATTCCTCTGCTCTGGTGTCCAGCAGATGACTGCTATGTGGTGGCTGGAAAAATCAGCTCAGCCGCCTTCCTCTCACTCCTGTACCTGCCCTCCATGGAGGGTGGACGAGAGGGATCACCCACGCAGACCATTTCTCTTCAAGTAAGCATCAGCCCGTGGGACTTTCTGAAGGAGCTCCTCCACTAATTTTGAGGACTGGGGTGGCATCAGGATGCTGCCAGTCATACAGTTGTTGATGTGCTCACGTTAAAGGCCCATTTCTGATTTTATAACAGAAGGATTTAGCAAAATCTCCAGTTTTGTGTTACCGGGATTTTGAACAGGGCAGATGGCTAGGTTTCTATTTGCGATAAAGCAGAGCCTTTCCTCTTAATTAGATCCAGTCTTCTCCTAGGGGGGTACTGGCTTTAGAGCTGGAGCTTTCTGTGAAGCTCTAATTAAACCCATCCTTGATTGTCGTCCACTAATCAGACATTGATGATTTAAACTTTTTTTTTTTCCTGAAAGAGATATTGAATTTCTGATCATCATCCTCTCCTCCTCCCTGACCTTCCTACTCTTGATTTTTCTCCTCTGAAGGGCCCGTTCATGCCCTCACTCAGCAGCCCTGTATTCTGCACCGGCTATCTCGTAGGAACAGGGTGGGCCCAACTCTGCCCCACCTCTCTACCTTTCACTTTGTTTACCTGATTCTCACTAGAGATACCATGAAACTTTGGGCCTCGCTGTTGCTTCTGCAAGTCCTTCAGCTAAAACCTCACTGAGACAGGAGGAACGCCTTTCTCTTCTTTGCCCCTCCAAGTTCTCTGTTCTGGCACGACCCTCCGACCTCCCAGGCAGGTGAATCTCCAAAGCTTGCCATCATGCTGTGCCGGAGCCTGTGTTGGGCCACATCCCTACCCTACCTATGGGATTTGGCCCATGGTGTCCTCTCCATGGGTCATGGCAGCTCCTTCTCCATGCGCAAGGCAACACATCCACCTGTGGCTGCCTCTGACATGCCCAGGGAAGTTCAGCCCTGCCCAGTCCCCCACAGGACGAGAATTCCTCTTGCTGGGACACACCACACCACTGCCTCTGCATCCTGACCCTCCCTGATGGTGACACCAGCCTCTCCTGCAGGATAGAAGCTCTCTCAGGCTGCCCCGTCTCAGGGCAGGGTGGATGGCCAGTCTCTGTTAATGCCGCCTTGGACTTTCCCCGACACAGAAAGGCTGCATAGCTCTGCTGTTTTGGGAGAGCTCTGAGCCAAGCCTGGGCCAGCTGGGGCCAGGAAAGCTGGCCCATGGCCCCAGCAAGCTGCGCACTTGGGGTTCTCGCAAGTGCAGTTGTGAGCAACACAAGTGTAGTTGCAAGGTGCCAAGTGTGAGGAGGGACAAGCCCCAGGGCAGGCCGAGAGGTACCTAGAGGTGACAGCAGCAGGGTGCTCCATAGCCACCCCAGCCTGAGCTGTGACAGGACAGAAAGCACCAGGGAGGAAGCCTGGGGCTGCCTTCAGTGCAGTGCCCTCCACCACGCAGTTCCCGGCGCAGCAGCAGCGCCGGCTGGGTGCTCCAAGCCACTTGATTAAGCTGCTGACAATCGATAGAATTTGGGCTTTGAGCTTGCCTTAAATGGGTAAATCTTTGGGACAGGGAAAATTAAAGATGAAGGAATTTCCCAATAAACCAAGGCAGCTCCAGGTCTGGCTGTGGTCCTGATTTGGGTGAGGAGAGGTCAGGCTTTCCAGCCCAAGGAGCTGCAAGGGAGAGAGCCAGGCTAGCTGCAAGCCCCTAGCATGGGGGGGCTTTGTCCTCCCACATCAATGACCTCCCTTCTCCCACGGAGGGGTGGACTGGGGTCCTTTCATGAGGCATATGGGGGGCTCTGGGTCTATTCACACTTTGTATACAATGGGGAGTAACACAATGTTTTTCCACATGCGGTAAAAGCAGAGAGAGAAGGAAGTGAAGGGTCACGCTACTGGGGGAAGCTCAGCATCTCTTCTCGGTGTCTTTCTCACAAAAGGACAGACCCTCTGTGGGGACAGCTTGGACGTCTGCAGACAAGGGGATATTTGGGATCCTTATCTGTTCCCCTTCTGCAGAAAAGTTTGGGTTATTGTATGATGTCCCTTTGAGGAGTGAGTCTGTGAGGGTGTTGGGGTACATGTATGGTGGGGTTTCTTTTGTGGAGGGAGCTAAGGAGGATCTATAGACAGGGCTGCTTTTGGGGGGAATGACTGGGCTTGAGCCTGTGGTTACTTCTGAGGAGACATCAAGGTAAATGTATGGTGTCCCTCTGTGGGAAGCTCTGTACTCGGGGTCCCTTTATGCAGAGAGCTGGTGAAAGTCTGTCCTTACAGCCCTTTCCTGATGCTGGAGGGAGGGGGCCTGAGCACAGCTCTTTAAGGGAGAGATGGAGGGTCTGTCTGTGCACAGGTGCTTTTACAGGGCTGAGGGTTCCATGCATGGGCTCCTGCTCCCTTCAGAGGCTAGGGGTTCCCCAAAAATGGGTGTCCCCTGTAGGAGGGCTTGCTTAGGGATGCCTTTGGGGATGGGTAGACTGGGAGACTAGTCCCTGATGTGAGGTGCCCCTGGGGGTCTGGTCCCAGGTCCAGGGTGTCCTATGGCATCCTTGCAGCTGACCCTTGACTGTGGGACAGTCCTTGTTGCAGAGTATCCCAGAGCTGGTCCCTGACTGGGGTGTACTGGGGTACCCCGAGACTGGTCCCTGGCCCAGGGTGGCCCAGGGTGCTCCAAGGACAGTGTCTGGCCCAGCTGTCCTGGGGTGCCCCAGGCTTTTCAGGCGCGCCAGGACTGGTGGCTGTTCTGGGGTCCCCTGAGGTGGGTCCTTGATCCAGCTTTCCATCTGGGTCCCAGGGAGCCCTGTGGTTCCCTGGGGTCAGATCTTGCCTGGGGAGCCCCAGGTGCCAGTGCCCAGAACAGGTCCCAGTTCCTGGTACTCCATCAGTGCTAGTGCCTGGCCTGGATGTCCCAGGAAGCCCTGGAGTGGCCTGGGGATGGTTCTCGTCTGGGATGCCCCATGGCCCTGCAGTGCTTGTACCCTGCCCAGCTTCCTTGAGTAACCATGGTGTTTCCTGCAGCCAACCTCTACCCAAGGGAGCCCTGGGTGCCAGTGCCTAGAGCCAGCACCTGTTCCTGGTGCTCTGTCAGTGCTAGTGCCTGGCCTGGGTGTCCCAGGAAGCCCTGGGGTGCCCTGGGGCCAGTTCCTGGCTGAGATGTCCTATGGATCCACAGTACTTATACCCAGCCCAGCTTTCTCAGGCAGTGCTGGTGTTCCTTGTGGACAGGGGCCCTAATAACAGTGCCTGGGGAGCACTGGGTGCTAGTGCCCTGAGTTGGTGCCCATTCCTGGTACTCCATCAGTGCTAGTGCCTGGCCTGGGTGTCCCAGGAAGCCCTGGGGTGGCCTGGGGATGGTTCTCGTCTGGGATGCCCCATGGCCCTGCAGTGCTTGTACCCTGCCCAGCTTCCCTCAGCACCCATGCCCATTCCTGGTACTCCATCAGTGCTAGTGCCTGGCCTGGGTGTCCCAGGAAGCCCTGGGGCTGGTTCCTGGAACCATGGCCCCGCAGTGCTTGGACCCAGCCCAGCTTCCTTAAGCAACCCTGGTGATCCCTGTGGCCAAGGGCCCTGCTACCAGTGCCTGGGGCTCTGCAGGTGCCAGTGCCACTGCCCACGCTTGGCGCTGCTGTCCCAGAGAACTCCCGCATCCCCCGCACCCACCACCCTCTCCAATGCCCGGAGAAGGCCCCTCGGGGGTGGGCTATGCCCGTGGGGGGCCGGTGGGTACCTGCCAGCAGCTGCATCCAGGCGCAGATCTTGTAGACGGTGGCGGTGTTGCAGAAGAAGAAGAGGGCGAAGCAGGTGATGCAGCCCAGCGTCAGCACCATGGACAGCAGCACGAAGAAGGCCGCCGCCTGGAAGGCGCCCGAGGGGATGGTGCTGAAGTCCCACGCAGTAGTGGAACAGCCCAAAGTAACCGGGTTTGGGCGTATTGACGCTGTCGCCCACCCAGTAGGGCTGGATGAAGACCACCACGTTGATGATGGCGAAGCAGATGGTGAAAATGGCCCAGAGCACGCCGATGGCGCGCGAGTTCCGCACGTAGTTGTCATGGTAGAGCTTGGAGGCTTCCTGCGAGGGCAGCATCCTGCCGGCC